TGTGTGTGTACGTGTGTGTGTGTGAGAGAGGGGGAGAGTGTGTGTGTGTGTGTATGTGTGTGTGTGTGTGAGTGTGTGTGTGTGCGTGTACGTGTGTGTGCGTGTACGTGTGTGTGTGTGTGTACGTGTGTACGTACGGTGAGTTTCTCCTCAACAGAAACCCCAAGAACTCCACATTCTGAGACCTCCAGAAACGTGCCTTGACAGCTTGACTTTTCTTGATGGCTTATAACAAGTTGGACACTTCCAACAGAATTTAGACACAATCTCTTCCAGGTCCCTGTCCGAAAGGGGACACACACACACGTGCTCACACGCACACTCTCTCTCTTCCGCTCTGTCACACACACACACACACACACACACACACACACATCATTGCCTTACCCCCCCAAGGTCCAAGCAGAGTTTGAGGTGGGGATTCCCCAGAGCTTTGTAAAGGTTTATTCTCAATGGCTCTATGTACGAAGACCATGTTCCCATTTGCTCTATTACCGAGCCCCTCAGTATATCCTGTCATCACCAATGGTGCCCATGTATCCCCCGGTCCCTCTGTCCCTGCAAACTCTTTCAAACTGGACCACAAAGTCAGTGTTGTCTCGCTCTACCCCTTTCTGTCAAAATTAATCACCTCACACCTCTCCTCATTTAACTCTGGATGCCACTTCCCTGCCCATTCTGTCAGCCCCAGCCGCGGCCCACTATCGGTGTTGAGTGAGAATGTGGATTTGAGGATATGATCAGGTCAGCCATGGTCTTAGTAAATGATGGAGCAGGCTCAAGGGGCTGAATGGCCTCCTCCTGACCCTGACAGTAGAGGAAGAATTCCCACAGTCCCTCAGGAGACTGAGTGACAGAAAGATCGAGGTTAACAGTCACTGGGAGAAAATAAAGTCATGCTGAATAAATGGGAAGTATGGATGACAAGCAATGAGTTGGTGATGTTTGCTGAGCTTGTTGAGAGAATGTTTCACATGGTGATGCTTTATTGATCACAACAAGAGGTGAATGACCTGCAGAGAATCAGACCATTGGGTATCACACCGTGTCCAGAAACTTTCAACTGAGAAGGGGTTAAGTTGGGGAGACAGTAATTGCAATGTTCTGTACACGATAACACCAGCCAGTCTATACCCTCCCAGCTTCAGAAGTATTTTCCTTCATACCTGTTCTAGAAAGAGATAATGGGGGCTGGGGAGGAGTGGGGGTTCCAGATGCATGTGGTGTCAGAACTGATCTAGATAGATGGAGTCAGGGATCAATAGTCTTTCACTTCTGCCCTTTGTCAGGGAGATTGAAGGATGGTGATGGAGAATGGCTGATTACTTCCTGCTCACTGTCCATTATTGCAGCAATTAATCAAGGGCTGGGTACGGACAGGCTGGGGCGTGAGCCAGAGAGAGAGAGAGAGAGAGGTTACCGCTGGGAGGGATCCTGGTATGAAATAGAAGAATTCTGACCCTCTCTCCCAAAAAACCCAATCCGAGCATCCAACTGGCAGCAAACAACAGGCAATAAAAACTTCCAATTGATGTTTCTTTTCCTCCAGTAAAGAGCAGGAAAACCCCACACTCAAACAAGTGGATTTAAAGTTGTTGCTCCTGAGTGGAAGGAGGCTGGTGATGATGATGGGTTCCCTCATGAATTATTAAGCAGCCCTGAGTTCTATTAGCACTTGTGTAAACGCTGCATTTTATAACGGGTGTACAGAGCTCTGCCTTGCCTGACAGCTGTATTACTGCTGATAAGCAGGACACAGCACACACTGATCAAACCGCGAGGAGAGACAGCAAGTCGGAACTGTGAGTTGTGTGAGCTGGTTTCTGGCTCCCCCTCTCTTTATCCGTATCTCTCTCTCTCTTTTTCTCTCTCTCCCTATCTCTCTCTCTGCCTCTCTCTCTCTCTCTCTCTCCCTTTCTCTCTCTCTCTCTCTCTCTCAGCAAGTTCTGTCACAGCCAGTGAGTGCACTGCACAGAGGCTCTGGCATTTCTGCTGTATGAGGCATCTGCACACACCACCCAGATGCCGATTGAAATCGTTTGCAAAATTGCATTTTCGGAGGATGACGAGAAGCAGAAGGGAGCAGTGGAATGTGACAAGAGGAGTTTGATCGAAGAGGGCTGTGAGTCCTCCGCCACTGACCTCGTCACCTTTGCTGATACCTGCTCGCTGCATGGTCTTAACCACATCTTTGTCCCAGGTGGCTGCGGGCTGAAGCAAAGTCTCTGGGCACTTGCCTTCCTCTCCTCGGTGATGTTCTTTCTCTACCAGGTGGTGAACTGTACCATGTATTATCTCAAACATCACCATGTCACCGCCCTGGATGAGGAATCTTATCATGAGATCCCCTTTCCCGCCATCACTATCTGCAATATGAACAGATTCCGTCACACTGCCCTGACAGACGCTGATATCTACCACCTGGCCAACATGACTGGATTGCCCCCAAAGAGCAAGGATGCCCACAAGGCAGTTACACAGGGTTACCCTGTAGCTGACATGATGGATATCTTCAACAGGACTGGTCACCAGATCGAAGAGATGCTGAAAAACTGTAACTTTAGTGGCTCCTACTGCTCGGCCCACAACTTCTCAGTGGTAGGTCTGTCTTTATGTTAACCCTTCCCAAAGAAGTGTTTCCAAAATCCCCTGGAGCAGCTCCATCCATGATAACGCAGCTTCCCTGGGACAGAATGCAGCCTGTGTTAGATGAAGAGGGGGTGGGTCAGAAAAATATCTTTGTCATTTTAACAGCTGCCTGACCCCCTCACAGACCGAGTCGGCTAAAGGTTTAATGCAACTAATCCCCCTAAATTGCTCAGGAAAGCAAATTGTTTCAGATAAAAGGGAGTGCAGGTTGGGGCTGTAGGGAAACTATACTCTGATCTTCTATCATAGGCAGGTTTAAACTCCTGGGCAGTTCATCATCAGTCTGAGTACACCAATGTCCTAGAGTAACCTCATTTCAGCAGGTCATCCAGAATACAGGGAGACCAAGTGCCTACACACACTGAGGTTTAAGGTTGGCAAAAAGGTTAAAGAGAAGATGATCCCCTTTTCTGTCTGGGCATAGTTATATTCTGAGAGAAGCTTGCAAAAGGATGGAGGAGGTTCTTTCTCACATGAGTGAAGGAATCAAATCATACGGACAGGACAATGACTCAGCCAGAGCCCAGTGATGTCGGACACTGAGGGCTTCTTTTAATCTTTAGTCCTCCCAGTGATAATAGTACACACTCACTTGCTCAGTCGCTGTGCGTCTGTTGTCTGTAATAGCGCTTACAAAGCCAACATGTAGAAAAGTGCACCAAGAGAAAGAGCAGGGAAATGCGATGTATTCAGAACACATGTGAGTCTATCAGCCTCATAGATTCAACCATTGTGACGGATTGAATAGGATTTATTCATTCTTGTGTGACTATATCCATCTGACAGTCTGTATCAAACTGATATAATCTTTCTGACTGTAATAATCTATAATATTCGTTTTGTTTGACAGTAGCAACGTGATTACATTTCGCTGTGTGACTGTATCAGCCTGATGTATTCATTCTGTATGACTATATGGAGTTGGCAGAATCGTTCTGTAATGCTGTTAATCTGATAAATAACTGTTTGTAGCAATTGGACCTAACCAAGCCATGTTACAGTCATAATCAGAACTGTCACTCTGTAGGCCTGTAGGAATGGGGTTTATTCACGGTGCGTCTGTTTTCTCCGGTCCATCTATGGCGTGATAGTGTATTAACTCTGTGTGACTGTACCAAACGGATATCTACAATTTGTGTGTGTCTGAAATGATCACACCATGTGCCTGTACCAAAGATACATTAATTCCAGTTGACTATTCATCTAATGTGCAGATTTGTGACTGTAATAATCTATTCTATTCAACCTGATCAAATATGTCAATCTGACAGATTCATTCTCTGTTTTTGAATCAAAAATTTAAGAAATAGGAACGTGAGCAGACCATTCCGCCGTTTGAAACTGCTTGCCCATTTGATACAATTGTTTCAGATCTTAAGCTTTAACTTCAATTTCTCACCCATTTCCCCATCTCCCTGATACCTTGGAGGCTGAAGTGCTGTCTATCTGAGCCTTACATCTGTTCAACAATGGAGGCTCCACACCCTCTGGGTCAGAAAACCTCACAAGTCCACCAACCTCCCAGTGAGAAACTTCCTCCTCATTCCAGTCCAAAATGATCAATCCCTTATCCTGAGGCTGTGGCCCATCTTCACAGGTTCATTGAATCAGTCGGGACAGAAGAGGCTCTTCAGCCCATCAAGTCTGTGCCACTAAAACTATATCACTTCCGAGACTAGGCCCACTTACTCATGCTTGGCCTATAACCTTGAGCTAGATTCCCCAGTACAAGAGGGAAACAGACTTTCAGCATCAACCATGTCAAACCTCTTCAGAATCTTCAATGCCTTGATGACATCATCTCTCATTCTGCTAAACTCCTGAGAATATTGACCCCATTTCCACAGCCTTCGATCAGAGGACACTCACCATCCCTGGGGACCAACTTGGTAAACCTTTTCTGTATTACCCTCAGTCATATGTATCCTTCCAAAGACCGAAGCTGCACACAATATCTCAGGTGTGTTCTGCCCTGTACAAATGTAGCAAGTCTCTTCACTCCCGTACTCTGATCCCCTTGCAGTAAAGGCCAAACTGCTGTTCACCTTCCTCATTGCTTGCATCCTAACGTTCTGTGTCGCTTTGTATGAGCAGGCCCAAGTCTCTCTCAACATCAACGTTTACAGCTTTCACAAATTTAAAAACATTTTCTGCTTTCTCTAGTCTTACAAACCAAGTTAATGACTTCGCACACCTCCCACATTAGACTCCCTTTGCTGCCCTGATGACCGCCTACATAACCTGTCAATATCTCTTTGCAACCTCTTTGCCTATTCCTCACAGCTTGCCTTTCCAGCCAGCTTTGTATTTTACAATACTTAAATACATTACTCTGTCTCTGCATCTAACATACTACGTTAGTTTGTAAATAGATGGGGCTCCAACAGTGACCCTCAGGCACTGCCTGTGAATTTGAAAAGCATCCTGGCCCACTGTGACCTCCAGCATGTTTTGTTTTCAGTACAGATTCCAGCATCTGCAGTAATTTGCTCCATGAGTCCTTATCCTTTGTATAGCACTTTCGTGAATCTCTCATGGAAACCCAGATATATTCCATCTACTGATTCCCCTTTATCTGCTCTGCTAGTTAGGGGTCACTTAGTTCAGTTGGCTGGATGCTGGCTTACAATGCAGAGTAAAACCAACTGTTCTGGTTTCAATTTATGCACTGACTACCAAGGACTCTCCTTCTCAACTTCACCTCCACCAGTTGTCTCTCTCTGACAAGAGAATAGCCCTATGGTCTCTTAGGACTATGGTGATTGGATTTAATTTATTATAGTCATATGTACCTCAGTACATGCTTTGTGAGCAGTACAGGCAGATCAGAGCAAACAAGGACATACAGACCATAGGGTGCTTCGACAGAGCGAGGCATACAGGGCTACAGCTGCACAGAAGGTGCACAGAGCAAGATCAACATTAGATGTGAAATTAGAGAGGTCCATTCAGCAGTCTAGTAATGGCAGGGAAGAAGCTGTTCTTGAACCTGTTGGTGCGTGTGTTCAGGTTTCTGTATCTTCTGCCTGATGGAAGAAGTTGTAGGAGGTCATTACCAGGATGGGATGGGTCTTTGATGTTGGCCACCTTTCCACAGCAGCGAGCCGTGTAAATGGAGTCCATGGATGAGAGATTCGCTTCCGTGATGGTCTGGGCTGTGCACACCACTTTCTATAGTTTCTTACGGTCCTGGGCAGAGCAGTTGCCATACCAGGCCGTTATGCGCCTGGACAGTTTGCTTTCAGTGGTGCATCTGTAGAAGTTGGTGAGGGACCTTATGGAGATGGCAAATTTCCTGAGCCGCCTGAGGAAGACGAGGCGTTGTTGTACCTTCTTGATTGTCAAATTTACATGGGAAGACCAGGACAGGTTGTCGGTTATTGTCACTCCTAGGAACTTGATGCTCTCAACACTCTCCACCTCAGCTCTGTTGATGCAGAGTGGGGGGCAGGGGGGGATGTCGGTGGTTGGAGGTTGGGGGTCGTGGGGGATGATTTCCTCCTTTCTCCCTGAAGTCGATAATTAGTTCTTTTGGTTTTGCTGACATTACTACATCAACCCCTTTGTCTCCTTTCTGTATTCTGATCCATTGTTGATTGATTACCATCCTACCGTGGTGATGTCATCAGGAGATGGCATTTATTCCGAATTTGGCAACGCAGTCGTGGATGTACAGGGAGTAGAGAAGGGGGCTGAGGATTCATCCCTGGGGGGCTCCAGTGTTGAGTGTTATCGTGGAGGAGGTGCAGTTGTCTATCTTCACGGATTGCAGTCTGTGGGTCAGGAAGCTGAAGACCCAGTTACAGAGGGCAGAGCCAAGACCTAGGTCCCGGAGTTTTGAGATCAGTCTGGAGGGAATAATGGTGTTGAAGGCGGAGCTGTAGTCAATGAGCAGGAATCTGATGTAGGTGTCCTTGTTGTCCAGATGTTCCAGGGATGAGTGCAGGGCTGGAGAAATGGCGTCTACTGTGGATCTGTTACATCTGTAGGGGATTGAGGCAGGCTGGGAGACTAGAGTTGATGTGGATCATAACCAGCCTCTCAAAGCACTTCATGATTATGGAGGTCACAGCCACTGGGCGGATAGTCATTAAGGCACGTTGCATGTGCTTTCTTAGGTGCTGGGATGATGGTGGTCTTGTTGAAGCAGGAGGGGACTTCAGGTCGTAGGAAGGAGAGGTTAAAGATGTTAGTGAATACTCCCACTAGCTGGTCCGCGCAGGATCGGAGTGCTCAGCCAGGGACTCCGTCCAGGCCCATCGCTTTCCTCGGGGTTTACTCTCAGGAAAACTGATCTGATGTCTGTAGCAGTGATGGTGAGTACAGCTGCATCTGGTGCTGTTCTTCCAGCTTGCGTTGTGCTTCGCTGGAACACTGCAGCAAGCCTGAGACAGAGACATTGGCTGGGGAGTGTTATAGTGCGGTGAAGTGGCAGGCAACTGGGAGCTCAGGGTCTTTTCTGTGGACAGCACGTAGGTGTTCTGCGAACCGTTCACCCAGCCTATGCTTCGTTTCCCCAACGTAAAGGAGACCACAGTGATTGATTGCTTTTATTGTCACGTGTACCGAAATACAGTGAAAAGTTTTGTTTGTGAGCAGTACAGGCAGATCACAGCAAGCAAAGGATGTACAGATCAAAGAGACTTAAAGGCATACAGGTTACATTGCAGGTTACATTATTTGAGGCTAGACATCCATTCAACAGTCTGATAACAGCTGGGAAGAAGCTGTTCCTGAACCTGCTGGTGCGTGTGTTCAGGCTTCTGTATCTTCTGCCTGATGGAAGAGGCTGTAGGAGGTCATTACCGGGGTGTGATGGGTCTTTGATGATGTTGGCCGCCTTTCCACAGCAGCGAGCCGTGTAAATGGAGTCCATGGATGGAAGGTTGGCTTCTGTGATGGTCTGGGCTGTGCACACCACCTTCTGTAGTTTCTTACGGTCCTGGGCA